CACCTTTGAGAATTTATTATAGAGGAATGTATTATAGAGGATGTAGATACAAGTCTACATTTATGTACCAAAAGAGAAACCCCTCCCTTCCCCTTTCTCTATTTTCAGGAATAACAAAATCATTCAAAACATCAAATGATTCAAATTATTCTCAAACGCACAATATAATATGGATCAATTTAATAACTTGACTTGCATTTTCTAATTGATACGACCATCTTTCACGTTTGATAAATATAAATTATCAGAATCACTTTATCTTTCGTAGCAACAATAAGAAAGAAAGAGTTTCAAAGATTCTCAATCCCAAGCAAGAGGATAGTCGCGTTACCGAGGAATGTAACAATATTGGTAGAAATAAAGTCGCAAAAGCGATACATACCGCTTCCACGTGGAACGAATTGAATCTCGGTATAACGGTGACGCCAATCTTTCCTACAGAAAGCGGTGATCAGCGAGTAATCACACAAGTACCGATATCTGACGAAACTTTCGCCGACGGTGACAAACTACTCAAACCTATCGGTAATCTCTATCCGCTCGGCTCTGAGCTAAAAGAAATCGCAGATGTTATATCACGGGTAAGAAATTGAAAGATACATATCGTAATTTTGACTGAAACTACCCTCTGTTGACTCTCAATAAAGTATAAATCTCATTAAAATTTTTAATAATTTCATATAAATCATATAAAAGGAAAGCCCTGTTTTCAAGTAATGAGCGTTATATGTGACAAGAAAAAAAAATAAGTAAACCGATAATCCATAGGAAATAGTGCAACAAAATTTAAATGTTCATTGGGATGACGTGAAGGGACTGAAGGATTGCAAAATGTTGTTGAAAGAAGCTATACTCTATCCCCTGAAATATCCGAGCTTATTTAGCGGGAAACTCAGTTCTTGCAAGGGTGTACTATTATATGGTCCACCAGGAACTGGTATGTATTCGGGCGAAATTACTTATTTGAATTATTTGTCCACGGGCAAATTGACGAAGAAACTCATCTCACAAACACAGGCAAAACGATGCTCGCAAAAGCGGTTGCTACCGAATGTGAATCTACCTTTTTTAACATCACTTCCAGTTCCATCATTAGCAAATGGAGAGGAGATTCGGAAAAATATATTCGCGTAAGTCGAACATCCATTTAAGGTGAAAATAAAAAAATATAGAAATAAAGGAAAAATTATGAAACCGAAATATGATTACGGTACAGTATAAATAATGCAATGAAAATTTTTAACATATTTCTCTCTTTCTATTCAAACTCTATCTATCTATAACTCTATCTGTCTATTATATCTCTATCGCATTTTTTTCTTCTTAGTAAAAGAGTTTATCAAAGAATATCAAATAATAATTCGATTTGTTATTATTAATTAATGTATATCGGCAAGTTTGAACAAGTTGGAATCTGCATGAATCTGTATAAATTTAGGTGCTCATCGATCTTGCTAAACATTATGCACCAACGATAATTTTTATCGATGAGATCGATTGGACGACTACGAGAAACACGGACTACATTTCGTTAAGCTCGGAACCTATTAGAAGATTCCGAGCGGAATTTCTCGCCAGATTGGATGGTTTATTGTCAATGGAATATATAAATGTAGTGTTGTTAGCAGCTACAAACGTTCCATGGTAAGCAAAGCGGATACAGATAGTATATAGATACAAAATTATGTTTCAATACAAGATAAATTTTAATTATTTTTGCATAATTTGTGACTTGAAATTTATTACGCTCCCCCTTTGTTCCTCTTTATATTCAGTATATCCTTTTACTTTAATTGCTTGCCTACTGTATATTGTTCTGGCATATGTATAATTAAATTAAGTGACTCACAATGCTGATAAAATCTTATTTATTTAGCTATTTTTCACGATTCTTATTACATATCTTTTAATTAGTAAAAAGAAAGAATTAAAAAGAAAAAAGTAGTCAAATTCTTTTTCGCAAATTAAATTCTACATAATTTTTATTTTTTCTAGGAATATAGACATTGCCTTGTTGAGACGTTTAGAAAAGCGGATATTTGTGGATCTGCCTGACGAAATTAGTCGATTGGAAATATTGCGATCTTATGTGCGCGACGATCTGCATGACTCGCCGGATATTTTCAAACTTGCTCAAGAAACTATAGGATATTCTTGCGCAGATTTGAAACTGCTGTGTAAAGAGGCGTGGCTCGAGCAATTGCGGCCTATTTGGGCGAGTCTCGAGGCTAAAGCGATCTCTGTGAGTGATATTCAAAATGATGGCCTGATCAGCGCAATGAACTACATTATGCTCGCTAAGTCCAAGGTAAAACCCATCGCCAAACATATGAGTACGCAATATATGGAATGGCATAAGGAATTTGGTTTCTCAAAATAAAAAAGTAGCAAAATAGCTTAGTTTTTCAATTGTAACAAGAAACATGACATCTTCGAAATGACACATTATAGATCAACTTTTTGTGAAATAGTGATGTTTCGTGATTTCGATATATACACATAAATCTTTTCTTATAAATTTTGGTTTTTATCATTTAAAATAGCATTAAAAAAAATCGCTTCGAATATTATATATAAAAATATCATAAATTTTAATTAAATTTATAGTATAAAATATTGTACCGAAACTTTCATTGATTTTCTCAAACTCATAAATTACTAATTGATAACGTGTGATACGTGCGAACGAATATATCTTTATCTGCGGGATTTTATTGATGCAAATTTATTTATTAACACAATACCTAAATTGTAACATAAAATTATAAATTTATCCTAAAAATAAGTCTGAAAAATAATCATTTCCAGACTATTGACAATTTCTTCTCTTCTGTTGATTAATTTTAGCCTGCTTTAATCCGTGATAATAACCTACGTGAAAAAATTTGTAATATTATATCAATATGTATAATATATAGTGTTTGAAAATGAAATTTGTATAAAAATTTTGACATTTATTTATACAGCTTTAGAGTTGTTTCTTTTGTAGCAGACATTCGATCGAAGTTTTATTTACCTTTATTTTACCTTCAATATTATATCAATTATTAATAGGTAACTAAACTATTTTTCAATTAGAAATAGATCAAAATAATATTTTGTATATTTTGTAATATATATTCTGAAAAAATATGCAAAAAAATGTAAAAATAAATATTGTATAGGACTTTAAAATTTTAAGAGTATGAAGAAACTTGCATTTTTAATTATTTATAATTCGCAGATTCGATCGATCTGCTATAAAAAAAATTCACTCCTATAGGTATGTCTATCATATATGTGGCAAAAAATTAAGTTTTAAGCATTTTATTTAAAACATTACAAGATATGTTAAATAGATAATGCTACACATTAATAAAAGATCGGCAAATCAATAACCTTGATTTTAAAAATTACCTGTGTGAAATCCACTTATGTACCATGACATCAACATACTAGACAAAGCATCCGCATCAGATTCAGGTAACCTATAAGTGGAAATTATTTTCAGTTTATAATAAAATATATTGTGGTTATATCTCTAAATTATTACTCTTACTTTGCAAGAAATTGTGGTGGTAAGGGTGGTGCAGGTGGTATTCCATCTATTTTTGTAGTGAAATATTCAGATCCAGGCAGATTATTTTCATATTTGGATCTGAAATTACTTGGCTCGGGATTCTCTGTATCACAATCCATTCTTTCGCCATTAATTTGTTTAGAATTCTGTAGGTTGGAATAGGTAGATGTGTCAGAATCTATGACTTCTTCATTAGCCTTTTGTGCTACTGCTTCTTTATGCTGAGCAATTTGACTTTGTAAACCTTCAGATTCCAGAAGAGAACTTAATTCTACTTTTTCTGTATTCTGATATCCTGAGAACATGAATCATCTTTGTTATTATAAT